GGGAGGTGCTCGATGTCTGCTTTGGTGAGTCCCCGCGGCTTGGCCTCCCCCAGCCGCTCGGCCAGGTTCAGCAGTGCCTGGAAGGAGACACAGAGACCGGCTCAGCTCAGCTCATGATCCCGGCACAGCACCCCTCCAGGCTCTCCCCACCCTGGCAGAGCGATCCCCAACCCCCTTCCCCATCTCCCCCACCCCACCACCCTGAAGCAGAGCCGACCCACCTCGTAATTCTCCATCTCCACATCGTCCACGTCCAGGTCTAGGCTGATCGTGGGCCCCACAGCCGTCGGCGACACGGGAAGCATAGAGCTGGGGGGTAAGGACGGGGCGGTCGGCATGGGGCTGCAAACCCCAACCTTCCACCCTGGAATCCCCCCCAGGGGGGAAGAGCCACCTGTGCCAACACCGCACCACTGTGCCCCCCATCCGTGGTGCCACCCCTGCCCCACGCGTCCCGCCGTATCCCCCCCGGTACTCACAGGAAATAGGGCAGGAAGCTCGGGTAGTAGGGGGGTGGCGGCGGAGGGGGCGGCGGAGGGGGCAGCGCCTGCTGCAGCCGGTACCGCTGGGTGTTCAGCCGCCGGGGCATCATGTGGGGGTATGGCTGTGGGGAGAGAAGGGGCACTCAGCATCGTGCCAGCCCCAGGGCATCCCCCTTAACCCCTCCACGAGATGGGGACTCACCACGCCAAATGGCAGTTCTTGGTGCAGCGGGTCGTGGGGGAGGTAATGCAGCGGCACGGAGGGGGACAGCGTGGGAGCGTGGTGGGACGGGGGGTACGTGAAGCCTGCGATGGGGTGCTGCTCCCCTCGCAGGTCCACGTCATTGTCTATCCTCTGCAGAGGCTGCGGGGGGAAACAGTTGGGCCCAAATTACAACCCCACCCCCCCCGACACTAGCAGGACAGAGGCACCCTGGGCATCCCACTCATTGTCTATCCTCTGCAGAGGCTGCGGGGGGAAACAGTTGGGCCCAAATTACAACCCCACCCCCCCCGACACTAGCAGGACAGAGGCACCCTGGGCATCCCACCCATCACCCCCAAGCTCAGGTCATCAGAGGCTGCAGATGGACAAGACCCCAAGGTGGTCTCTGTTTGGCCACAGGGCACATCGTGTCCCCAGCCCGTACCCCCACCCCAACTCACCATGCGCGGGTGCTGGGCTTGGAGAGGTACAAACTGCCCCAGGGGGGCCATGTGGGGCGGCTGGTGGGGGGGCACTGGTGGTGGAGGGGGGTGCAGGATGTAATGGTCGCTGGAGATGATGGGGGGGAACGTCTGGTAGGAGACGGGGAGCTGTTGCATGGCGCATGCCTGGATCAGCTGTGGAGGACAGAGAGAAAATCAGGAGTCAAGACACCCACCACAGGCATGGCTGCACCCCTGCCCCCTCCCCTGGACCTCCAAGAGACCCCACGCTCCCTGAAACTTGCACTCCAGTGGGCCTGGGTACCCACGCGACCTCCCAGCAGCCACGGCCCAGGCTGTCCCCAGATGTCCCCTGTGGGTGTCCCCCGCCGTGACTCACCGGGGGCGGGAGGCAGCAGAGCGGGTAGTGCTGTCCACTGAACATCACTGAGCATGCTGGGAGCTGCTGGGTGCTGCACCCAGGGATGTGCTGGCCGGCGTGGATGGGGAAGCCTTGCGTCGTGACGGTGGTAACCGTGTAGGAGAGAGGGACGGGTCCCTGGTGCACCTGAGGACAAGGCACCGAGGGCACAGTCAGGGGACAGCCCCGGCTCAGCTGTCCCCATCCTGGCAGAGTGGCAGCAGGGCACTGAACACTCGGCACTGGGACACGATTGCCTGGCACCTCCATCCCACTGGTGTGGCCAGAGGAGGGGTGATGAGTGCAGGACAGGTTCAAGGCAGGTTTTGGACCGCTCTGTGCTCCCCATGGACAGGCTGGCACAGCCTCCAACCCAGCACTGCCACCATGGACAACGGTGACAGTTGTGATGTGAACAACCCTATGAAGAGTCTGTCCCCAGCCCTTAGACGCAGAGACCACCCTGGGCCCACCCAAACTGGCAGGGGGACCCCAGGGTTTAAATGCTTGAAGGACAAGAGCACTGGCAGCCTCAGGGCTGGGTGCTCCCAGCAGCAAGGGACTTGCCAGAGGGGATAAAGGGACATGTCTTGGGACCAGTGCCCCAGGCACCAGCCCAGAGCCACCCTAGGGTCACCCTTAGCACTTGGTCTGGGGGCTGCAGCACCTACCTGGTCATGCAGATCCACCATGAATGGGTTCTGGTGGGGCGGGTGAGCGGCCGGGTGAAGCATTCGTGGCGGCGTGCTGGGGAGAGCGTAGGCGCGGGGCTCATCTACAGGGATGTGCGGCTGCTGGGGGAAGGCAGGGTGCAGCTGGGGCTCATCCTGGCCCAGCAGGGTGGCCAGAGGTCGGTCGCGTCGTCCCCACTGACGTCTGGCAGGGGGGCTGCGGGGCCACCGCGGGAGAGAAACAGAGCAGGAGTGACCCCCCGGGCCAGGGGCACCACAGCCCCAAGTAGGGTGGCCGCAGGCAAGTCAACGCCAACCCGGCTCCCAGGGCGAGATGGTCAGGGCATGGTGCCAGGCCAGGCTCCTTGTCTGGCTGGGGAGCTCCAGAACTGGCTCCTCTGCTCACCCTACATGTGGCCCCCCTGCCGTGTCCCCAGCCCTGCTCCCCAGGGACCCATCAGCCAGGCCAGGTGGACACACTTCCCTGCCACAGTCTCCCCTCAAGCACCCCAGGAGCTAGTGGTTTGCTCCAGCAGGACCGTGGAATCGTCCCCGTTGTCCCCACACACCATGGGTGACAGGGCTCCGTGCCGCCCTGCGCCCCGTACCTTCGCCGGAGGTGGTCGGGGCTGCTGCAGGGTCCCCCCGAGAAACGGCGCTGGTTAAAAGGGGCAGAGGGTGGCCGCCTATTCACTGCCAGTTCCCATGGTCGCATTGGTGACGTCGGGAGGCGGATGGGCACGTGGGACCTCAGGCTCCAGGCAGGGCAAGACACCAGCACCTTGGATCCTGCGAGAAGGACAGCGGGTCACGGCACCCCAAATCCCGAGGCTGGGCAAGCTCGGAATCCTCCCTGCACCCCAGGCCTGGGCAGCAACACCCCGGCCCACTTTCCCCTGGAATGATTTGGGAGAGGGAAGGGAGGAGAGGCACGGAGCGAGGCCGGGCAGCCCCTGCGCCCGCAGACATGCTGGGGGGGTTGCAACCCGCGTGGCCCCTGCCCGTGCCCCCTCTGCGCTGGGAGCCAGGCCACCTTCCCCGTGCCCAGCCCTGCCACCTGCACAAGTGACTCTGAGCCACCCCAGCGCCACTGTCCCCGCACGGCTGGACCTGCTCATCCCTCCCTCCCTCCCTCCCTCGGGGATGGCACTGCCAACGACCAGAGCTCTCACTGCTCCGGGACCTAGACCTGCCTTCACCGCAGCTCCTGGGGCTGGATGCAGCCCTAAGTGGAGGGGGAAAAAGAGGAGGGCAGGAAGAGCCCACCCCCCTCCCAGTTATTGTCCCTCCACTGCATGACCAGAGCCACCCCCCCATGCAAGACACGGACACCGAATGAGAGAGAAGCACTTGTTTTTGGCACAGAGAAAAGCAAGCGGCGAAGGGCCCTGTGGCTGCGGCAGTGTCCCAGGCTGCTGGCCCGGGGTGGGGGGGCCTGAGCCGAGGATGGGGGGGGCTTCCAGGGTGTCCTTGGCCACGACGGGCTCCAGGGCTGTTCTAGGGGCTGCTCTCTCTCGCTGGGCTCCTGCACGTCCTACTCTGGGCTGGCGCTGCTGCCCCAGTGACAGACGTGGGGGGCTGGCAGGGGACAGTGGGGCTCACGGCTCAGCCTGTGCACGTCACCTCTCTGCTGTAGAGGGGGCACGACCGCGTGTCCCCGTGGAGGGGGGGACAGGAACAGGCAGCTCCACTCCCCTCTCCGCCCCCACAAGCAGGGGGTCAATGGGAACACAGCCCCAGGCTCTGCCCCATCTCCCCTCCTGCACCCAGCCTGGCTGGTGTCCCCATGCCAGCGTGCCCCCCACCACCACACAGTTCACCCCCCCAGCCCCAGTGACAGTTGGCACCGCACAGAGGAGATATCTGCAGGTTGGGCTGTGCTTCCCCAGCCCCTGGCTCCCTAGGCCCCAAAAGGGCTCTCCCCTGGCTCCATGTGTGGCCAGACCCCCACAGAGAGGAACCCCGCGGGCACCCTCCCTCCCCTCTGCCAGCCTCCCTCGCCCTCCACCATCATGGCCAGCAACTGGGAGCAGCCATGGCCTCGGCACTGCGCCCCACATATCCCTAAATCCAGTGGTGGTGTGCCCTCCCCAGATCAGCTCCTTCTTCAGCCCTACCTCTTCCTCCTCCTCGGTGCCCATGGTAGAGGGATGCCAGGGCCAGGAAGGGCACCCCGAGCCAGGGAGTGCCCCTCAGCCCCAGGAGGAGCCCCCCCCCAGGGTCTCACCCCAGCAGGCAGAAGGTACAATGTCACGCCTGGGTGACAGGCATCACCAACCATGGCGGGAAGTCACCGAGGCGAGCCCTGTGCCACACACACGGGTCTCTTCTTAACCTCACCCCTGCCTGCCATGCCATTTCAGAAGCCAAAAGCAAATTTCTCTCTCTGCTTTGGGGGTAAAAGTTAAAAAAAATAACAAAATAACAAAACCCCCAAAGCCACAGTCTGACCCCCCCAGGAGCCCATCTGTGGCCGCTGCCGGGGAAGGGGCTGTGCCCAACGATGTCCCCAGGGGTGGTTTATCCTGCCCCCCGAGTCTCTGCCAGGCTGCCCCACCAGCGGGCCGGGGGCTAGCGGTGGCCCGGGAGGCTCCCCGAGGGGTCCCTGCCTTACCGCTCGCTCCGGGCACACACGTGCTGCGAGGGAGCACCGTCCAGACCAGACACCCCAGCGATGGGCTGGGGGACGGGGACACCAAAGCCATGCAGGGACTCTCCTTCTGCAGGGACCCCCCCAGAGACGGGGAGGGTAGGGGGGTCTGCCCGGGCTCCCGAGGACACCGTTCCCACCGCGGGACGTCCCCTGGACGGCGGTGGCCGAGGGGCACGGTGCCCCCCCTCTCCCCCCGTACTGCCACAACCATCACCCCCGCCAGACACCCGCCCCGCTGTCCCCACCCGCGCACCCCGGGCAGGGTCACCGTGACCCCGCGGAGGCTCACCGGAGGACAGGGGACCCCCGCGCCCCTCGGCGGAGCGAGGCGGCTCCCGGGCCCCGCCGAGAACAAAGTTAGCAGCGCGCCAGCGCTCACGCCCGGTGCCATCT